ACGTGGGCCCACTTATATGCCTATTTTTTTTCAATAAACATACAGCTGGCCCTCTGTATCTGAGTTTCATCACATCTACGGATTCAAACAACTGCAGATCAAAAACAGCGTCTTGGAGCAGCAGTTGGAAAGCCATGGATAGGGAGGGCCAACTTAAATCCCACATGAATTTTTGACTTTGTGTGTGAAAAATTAGAGGTGTTGGTGGCCCTGACCCTCATTATTCAAGGGTCAACTGTAATCACTATTGAGGTCATAGGAAATCCACATGATTATGATATTAAGGGAGTCGGGAAAAAAGTATTTTAGGAGGAAAGAGTGTTCTCAGCCGTGTCCACTGAGGACCAGCTCCTGAGAGTCCGGCGAGGACTGAGTTGAGTGTGGTACTCTAGACTGACCTTGAAAGAAGTTTCAGTGGGGTGGTAGCAGAGGCAAGAGATTATGTGTGCCAGGTTGAAGACAGATGGGAAAAGCATGACCTGGAGACAGAGAAAGTGTGGACAGTTCGTCCAGAAGAGCGGAGACATGAGGCAGTTGCTAGAAGGGAATATGGAGTCAAGTAAAGGTCGCTTGCCACCAAGCGTTCTGACCAGCACTGTGTCATAACATGGATGAGGGACAGGGGTTTAGGAGCCGTACACGGGCTGCTCAGTGGCACACAGCTGAGGTGTGGTAGTGTGTTTACAGTCAGGGCTTTTCTGCCCACGTCCACACTCTTTCGTACCACATGGGAGGCTTTGCCATTTACAGTATGTAGCACTAATTGGCATTGTTATAGTAAAAAGTATTTTCAATACCCAATGCATCATTATGTTATTATTGCTGTTATTATTATTCTCATTTCTAAGCATCTAGAACACCTTTACCACAGTGCCCATGATATTTGCCATCCACATAAACTAGAAAAATTGTAGCAAATGGTGCTAGTCTTCCTTGGCTGGGATCTACCACATGGTGAAGTTAATGATTTAGCGGATGAAAACAAGTTTAAAGACTTAGAATTCTTTATTATATTATTATTCAAGGCACAAAGGTCAAAGTATTCACTAGGTCCCAGGTATAAAACAAGTTATTTTTTTCTTCTAAGAGGGTTAAAAGCCGTATATTTAACTACTCTCTAGAATTGTAGATTTCCTAATTGTCAACATTATTTGGTGGTACAGGTCACATCCAAATAAGAATTAATGGGACAGTCCTCTTGCGATTCACTGTGTAAACACTTGTCATTTGCATTAGTATTTTGAATTTCTTCATTAATGTCCTACCTTTAAATTCAATGGCCTCTGTGCCTGTTTTTTGAGATACATTTTCTCCCTGTTATGCCATTAATTTGAATATTTATGACCATTTCTTTGTACCAGTCCTTCACATTATTTGGTTGTACTAGGTGACCTTGACTTTGCCAGCTAGCCTTAACTCTTGCACAGAGCTGACTGAATTACTATGGTCTGACTGCTTGTTGGCTTAAGCACAAGCAATGGGCACTAGCCAAGGAAATCTAATTGCTACCCTGCTGCTTATTCCCTTTTCATTCTAGAAAGATCACTGGCTTGCCCAGCTCCCTTCCTACTTTCACAGCTGAGCTGGGAATCAACAATCTTCTCTTCCCAGACTACCAGATTTCTGGGCTTCTTGTGATGTCAAATATTTCAATGTTTTGTGCTTGTTTTTATTTCAGGGGAGGAGTAATACTTACTAATCTTACAAGAGTGTTGTGAAAATTAACTAGTTAATGTTCACAAAGTACTTTGAAGATTAAAAGCCCAGCATACACGCTCATTATTGTTTTATGCACACCCAGGGCCTAGCTGGGCAGGTGAATGTGTTTCCCAGAGATGAAAGGAATATGCAACATAGAAAATTGTGGTCTCACACTGCAAGGCTGGCAGACAGGTGACTCGGATGGCATACAGGGGACTCACAGAGAACACAGATGTTCCACCAAGGCCTGGAAGAGTGTTGGTTGTTAGAGCCAGTGCCGACTTCCAAAGCATCGTAGGCGAGACAAATATTATTTTATGATACTTAGGGTAATAATAAGACTGATGAGTTTCTCAGGTTGGGAAGAAATAAAGGAGAAAGGGAGCTCCGGGTCTCTGAGGTGCTAATGCTCCTGCTAAGGTCTCAGAACTCCACTTGAGGATGAGACCGACGCTGAGTGACTGAACTTGGCTTGGTCAGGCTCACCATGCTCAGCAGGAATCCAGCTGAGGTTCATTAAATAGAACCCGCAGGTCTGCAAATGCATATCTTAATCTTGAACACTGCCGGAGGAGTTTGAATCGGTAGAGCTTTTCTGGAGGAGAAGTTGGTAATAATTACCCAAAGTGTTCATCTTTAAGCCATCAATTTCCCTCCAAAGACTTTGTCTCCAGGAATATTTTTCTATCTACTTAGGTGCTGTTAATAATTGCAAAACTTTAAACAATGTAAATGGCCAGTACTAGATGACTGATGATGCAAGTTATGGTTCAGTCATAAGGTGAAATATTATGAAGTCACTCAAATGAGATCCTAGGCAGTTACTTGTTAACAAGATAACATACTTAGAACATCAAGTTGAGACAAAGCCAGATGAAAGTATAATACATATCATGCTAAAATATTTTGAAGTGTTTTCATTTTTTTTGCTTATCTATATTTTCTAATTCCATATATTAAGCATTTATTACTTTTATAATGTGAAAAAACTTACGGAGAAAGAAAATATATCTTCCCAGTAGCATTTATGGGGAAAGAGAGGTACAAAATAATAAGATCACAAGATAATATAAAACCTTTGGAAAAGATCCAAAGGTGAGAAACAAATGGTAGGATGGCTTAGTTTATCTTGTAGTTGTCAGGCTTTTTCTCGGCCTCAATTTTCTCTGAAGGTTTCAGCCATGTGGTTGGCCCTCACTGGCTTCCATGATTAACTTTCCCTGGGCTCAAGGTCACAACCAATAGGGCCTCTCCCCACGTTCATAGCCAGCACTCCTTGTCTCATGTCCAGCTGAGGCTTGAGATACTGGGTGTTACTCTGCACTCACTGGAAGCACAAAGTAGCAGTATGGGGGCGCTGGTGTCCTAGGGGCAGAAACTTTGAGTAACGGGAGACAAGAGCTGGCTGCTCCAGCTTTTGCCCTTCTTTCCCTGTATGCAGGGCCCTGAGATGCAGTAGCTCAGATGCCTCTCTGAGGACTCAAAAGCAAGAACAAGCAATCAGTAGCCTTCCACACACAGAGGCGGCCAACTCTAGAAAGCATTCTTTTTCTTGGCTCTTCCCTCCTTCTCTGGTCTGTTTCCCCTTTCCCTCACTTCTGCCTCCCTGCTTTACACTCTCCAATAAAGACATAGCAGCCAAGCTTTGCCTCGGGCTCTGCTTTCTGGGGAACACCCTACTTAGATATTGAGTGAGACTCACAGACAAAGAGGCACTGGATTCCAAAGGTAGTATTGCCAATTATTCAATCAGACTTAAAGATAATAGTAGCTGGTATTTACTGGATGGTTTCTATGTACCACACACTAGACATTATATCATTGAAACCTCATAATATTTGTATCTGAAGAAACTTTGGAGAGGTGAAGACGCCTGCCAAAGATCACAGAGTAGGGGAACTTGAATTTAGGTCTGTCTAATACCAACGCGGTGTCCCTCACACTGCATAGTATACAATGGGCTATGGGAGAATCTTAAGAGGTTTCCTACGTCGAGGAGTATACTTACTGCCAAGATATATAAAGCAAGAAGACAGAGTGAAAGATGGTGTTCAGTAAAATGTTCAATTGTGTGACACGCAGTATAATTGCTATCAAATTCAGAAATAAAAGAGAAATTCAAGAGGCCAAAAGGAATGTTAGGGAGCATATTGAACCAAAGGTGACAGTTGAAGAATGAGTATGATTTGAGAAAATGGAAAGAAGAAAGGAGTAAAGCCCAAGGGGTTTTCTGGCTGTGAGGACAGAGACAAGGATTAGCGTGGCGTGTGTGGAATAGAGAGGGGAAGCCCGGGACGAAAGGAAAATGACCTGTAGTGGGATTAGTACACTTGGCTCCTGGGGACCTGGGTTGTCATGGCTCTTGAAGGCAGGCAGAAGAATCTGCGTCTGCCATGCAGAGGAAAGGCACTACTCAGTCCTCAGGAGGAAGGTGTGATCACGCCCTGGCAGGAAGTACATAAAGGCAAGATTTGGCTATTATGTTAGAGTCACGCAATGTTCTAGGTAGATTTAAGAATTTTTTGTTTATAAAAATGAAACTCGCACATACACAAATCTGACACAGTTAAGAAATTGGCACGTAATGGAAATACAGGTTAGAATTCTCTAGAGTCATGTGTCCCAAGGATGTAAGCTCCCATAACAGTAACTGGCTTTCAGCGAAGACCATCAGGAAAGATAGTGTTTATTCAATACCTACTATGTGCTGGGCACTGTGCAAAGTTCTCTGCATGTCATTAATCATTAGGGAGCCTTTATTACCTCCCATTTCACTTGGGGGAAATGAATGGTGAGAAAGATTCAGTAACTTGTCCAAGTTCAGTGGCTAGGAAACGACAGGAGTCAGAATTCAAACTTCGATCTGCTCGCCTTCTCGTTCTGAGTCCTCTCTCCTGCCTCTTTTGGGCGTCAGCTTCCTACAGCACTTCCCTTGGGAAGGTTTGGGTTACCCGAGACACAACAGTGACACTTGTTCTTCATGAGCACCCATGTCAACTAATGAAAAATTAAGAACTTCTCAGTTATGAGGATCTTAGAAGCCTTTGCTTCAACCTGGTTGGCTGACAAATTCCCCAGTGAGGTTGAGTTGGCATTGGAAGCAATTTAAAATTCAGCGCAACTTCCCATCACTCATAGATGAGAGCAACGTTACATAGGGAAATTTGCCAACGTGCTTATGCTAACATACCTGTTCACACTGCAAATACATTTAAGCTTCTATAGAAAAAATTGTAGGAATTAGAAAATGGGGAGTGGCGACACCTTTTAAAAAAGCCTGTTCATGTTTTCCCACACAGAGAATGTGCTGAGCGAACAGAAAGGGGCGCAAGCCAAACGAGTACACCTAGAGATATGTACTTTTCACAGCAAGGACAATCACGCCCTCCACTGAGCATGCTTCGTTTCGGCAGAGTGGATTTTGCACTGAGGTGAGCTGGGTGGCAGCCTCCTAATGGCATTTGAGGGGCGCTGGGGGAGATTTCTCAGTCTGATAGAAATGTACATCCATCATTACAGGTGCTTGCAATTTCGGCAATTAGGCATTCCTTTCCGTCTTCAGATAAAAGCTTTGGGGCTTTACAAGTTACTTATTAAAATGCAAACACCCCTGGGAGGCATGACACTTTGGATTCCTTTTAGCTAATATGTTGAAAAAGAGTCAGTGTAATTTGGTTCATGTCGATTCACTTTAGGTTGACTCTGATGAGCCCCTACTAAGTGCAAAGCTCTTTGCTGGATCTTTGTTGGGGGAGGGAAAGATGAATCAGGTAACTTTTAGTCTTCTGCAAACTTCTCCAAGTTTGGATTTACTTAAGATTACCTTCTGATAAAATAAACCCTCAAGAGGAGTTTGTAGGACATTGGACTTGGCTGGAAAAATCACTGGAATCACCTGGAAAAATGTTAAAAAATATGGAAGTCTGGGTCCCCTGCCAAGGTACGGATATGCAGAAAGAGTTGGTCTGGAGGTATGACCTGGCACTGGGAATTTTCAAAGATCAACAAAGACAAGAAGCCCTGTTGTAGGAAAATACCTGGAAAATGTTGCTAGGGGCAAGAAGGCTCCAGCTGGCACTACAGAGCAGGAGAACAGAGACTAACAAAGGCTGACTGTGTGCTTAGTTCTTCGGGGAAGAGGACACGTAACACGGAGACTTCCCTACCACACTGCAGAACTCCAAAGCAATTTAAGAAACTTTACTGCGCTGATAGAATGGGTAATGTGCTGTTTTATAAAACCAAAAGAGCCTGTATCTACCTCGACCTGGAAACAATTGCAGCCCCAACCCCTGCTGTTAGCCCAGATCTATAATATCTGTACAAATTGCCACCAACTATATGGCTTAAAAGAACAGAAGTTTATTCCATCACAGCTCTGGGGCTGGGGGTCTGAAGTCCAGCTGTTGGCAGAGCTGTGCTGTCTCTGAAAGCTCGAGGAGCCGGTCTGTCGCAGGCCTTTCTCCTAGTGGTGGTGGTTACGGGCAACTTTGGCATTTTCTGGCTTGTAGGTACCACACTCATCTCTGCCTACCATCACATAGTATTCTCCTTTCTGTGTTTCTTCTTCTCTTTTTAGAAGGGCATCAGTCATATTGTATTCAGGGCTCACTCTGCTCCAATATGATGACCTCATTTTGACTTACATCTTGATTACATCTGCAAAGGTCCTATCTCCCAACAAGGTCACGTGCGCTGGTACTAGGAGCTGGGGGTCCTACAAGAGCATTTATCTTACCTTTGTATTTGAAGGGCAGATTGTGTGGGATAGTGGAAGGAACACTGGGCTTGAGTCTTACAACAGAGTTTGTAGTTTTACCTGTGAATTGGGACAAAGAATCAGGAGAATGATAACTAGGAGACCTGAAGAAATTTTTCAAACAGAAAGCCCTGTAAGATTTAAAGTGTGGACTGTCTGGGGAAAGTAAATTAATTAAAATGTAATATGTATATTTTCCGGTTAATAGGCAGTCGGGACTCAATAAAAAGGCAAGATCAGGCCTGCATTCATGGCCCCTGCAGGAGCAATGAAGTCCTTATTTTGTAGGCCAAGGTTCTTGCTGTGTTACGCCGTCTATTTAATCATGAATCTCCAGAGCCCTGGTGCACCCTCACTACTCCAGGAAAGGAGCTGTGGTCTGTAAAAGTGTTGTCCCTTTAATTTCTAGAAAGGTGTGGACACAGCCTGTTGTCATTTTCCCACTTTGTCACAAAGAGAGGTAGGTTCTTTGGATAAATCTCCTGTCTCCTTATTTTTTTCAGACCCAGTGATGTATCAGACATGTTCCTTCCGGCCCTGAACACACTGGGTACAAAGCGACAAGCTCATGTCACAGTAGAAAGTTGGGAGAGTTTGCACCTGCAGTTGGGTGACACGTTGTGTCTCAGTGTCCTCATCGGTAAATTGGGGATGAAAGTATCGATACCAGAGACTCACTGTGAGTGTTCATGGGAATGCGTTGTAAAGTTCATAGTCAATTCTGTTAATAAAGCATCAGGACAAAAGCTTGGCATTTTAATTCTCCTCAGTTTAAGCCAGGATGAGGACAGGGGAGTGAAAGTGGTGAAGGGCGCCCTGTAGGCTTCTAAAATGTCTCCTTAAAAATCAGTAGTGCCCAGACTACTGGAGAGAAAGTAAAATGCTGCCAGGACAGAGAACCTTTCTGTGAAGGCCTGTCCCCATGGGTGTAGGGGTGAGGGAGGGCCACAGCCCCCACAGGCAGCCTGAGCCAGAAGGCTGGACTCCAACTCCCACTCAGTCGGCCGGTAAACACTCGCCCACAGGACTGCTTCTACGTGGGAGCAGATGCTACTACCCACAGGCAAAGGACATTTCCCTGGAGGTAGGGCGGGTGGGTGGAAGGTACTACAGGAGAGGCTCCACTCCTCTTCCAGATGACCCAGAGCTTAATTTTCACTTGGAAAGAGGTTCTGCTTGGTACATTGACCTTACTGGAATGGGGTACAATGACGGAGTCGGGGCAGGCTGGGGCCTCTGTCCCCAGTCTTTTTCCTCAGGGAATTTGTAATGAATCCAACAGTCAGAGAGAGAATCAAAGGGCAAAGTCTCTGTTGATTCGTTTCCCTCTTCTCTTCCCTTTCTAAACTTCTTCAGAGACTTTTGTTCACTGTCGTCACTTTCTTGAGTTGCTAGTTCACTCCACTTTCTTCTTCTAATTAGAGATGGGGGTCCCCAGAGCCATGCAGTGACATTGCAGGGAGTAGGGGTCAGAAAGATACATTTTTATGGAAAGTGAAAACTCATGATTGTGTTCAGGGAGATGATATTCCATTTGTGTTGGGGGTGGGGGGAGAGAGTGCCTTCAGGCCTGTCATTAGGCAAATGAACCCCGATTAGAGGTTTAGCCAGAGACACAGTTTGGGTGTGTGGATTGGGAATTACTTCCAGGCAGGCTTCTCTCCTCAGTCTCCTCCATCCCAATCTTTCATGTGGGTAAAACCAGAAGAATACTAATTGTAGCTTAATTAAAATGCTTTGGGTGGAAAGGTGAGATGAAAGGGTAGAAAGTTGAATTAGTTAGTGTCTGTTTCAAAATTCAGGTGAGCTGTCAACCCTGAAGCAATCAGGGAGAGAAAGCCAATTTATTGCCGACCGATGATGAATGTTAATTCTTATTTCCTTTTTCTGCCCTAAAATTTGGAAGCAAACCCAGCCTACTACATGTATCTGGAAGGAGATAACATGGCAAAGGGGACTATTTTATTTTCTTTTGTTATTGGACTCCATACATACAATTTTGGATTTGGTCACATAAGCCTGAACCGTGACAAGTTGTCAGTGAGAAATTAAGCAAATATGCTCATCTGGTTGATTCAGGTCCTAAAATGATTAGGGGTGAAGGTTTGCCTTCAGAGAAAATCATGATTTGGGAAATATTAGAAAATTATTTCTACTTAACTTGCTGGATAAAGTTTCTGTTAAACGCATTACACAGAGCTTGTAAAAATTAAAAGTCATAATTTGAATCTTCAAATTCTTATGTAACATCAAAATACACAATGTTATTACCAATCAGCTGTGAGGAGGGTGCTGTAAAGGTGCTGGTGGAAAGAAGGGTGGCGGGGATGCATGGTACTGTAAGAGGCTAAGAGTGCTGAGCAACACAACAATGGGTATGAGTAAATTCTGTTTTCATCCAGAGGACAGTGAAATGCTTTTGATTGGAGCTCTGGGGAGGTTTCTTAAAAAATGGCATTTGAGTTTGATTTCAATGTTGAGAAATGGACATTGAGGGGTGGTTCATAATTACAGATGAGGAATAGAGAAACGAAAAGAAGATGCTTAGACTATATGTTATAACTGTTGTATAGTCTCTTATTTTTTGGACAAAATACAGGCAAAGACAGACTGCTATGTTAGCATTTCTCAATCCTGGCTGCATATTATTTTCATATAAAATGGTTACTATATATAGAAAATGCTAAAGACTTCACCAAAAAACTAGCGGAACTAATAAATGAATCCGATAAAGTTGCAGAATGTAAAATCAATATACAGAAATATGTTCTGTTTCTATACAACAATCACAACCGGTCAGAAAGAGAAATTAAGAAAACAATCTCATTTATAAATGAATTAAAAAAAACATAAAATATCAAGGAGTAAGTTTAACCAAAGAGGTGAAAAGACTGTATTCTGAAAACTAAGATATTGAAGAAAGTAGAGAAGAGACAAATAAATGGAAGAATATACTTTGCACACAAATTGGAAGGATTAATAGTGTTAAAATGTCTTTACAACCTAAAGCAACATACAGATTCAGTGCAATCTCTATTAAAATATCAATGGCATTCTTCTCAGAATTAGAATGAGGAATCCTAAAATGCATATGGATTGACAAAAGATACAGAATAGCCTAAGAAATTTTGTATGCTCCCTAATATCAAATTATATTATGAAGATAAAATAATCAAAACAGTATGGCACTGGCATAAAAACAGACACATAGATCAATGGAATAGAATAAAGAGCCTCCAGAAATAAATCTTCACTTATGTGGTTAATTAATCTACAACAAGTTAGACAAAGACATTCAATAGGATAAAACAGCTACTTCAATAAGTGGTGTTGAAGAAACTGGACAGATACATGCCGGAATTGAATTCTGACCACTTTCTTATACCATATATAAGAATAAACTCAAAGTAGACTAAAGACTTAAAGACTCAAAACCATAAGACTCATAGAAGAAAAAACAGGCAGTAAACTTTTTGATATCACTCTTAATAATATATTTTTGGGTATGTTTCCTTAGGAGAAATAAAAGAAAAAATACATGGGACTATATGCAAACCTTTTTGCACAGAGAAGGAAACCATTAAAAAAAAAAGAAAATAAAATAAAAGACAATCTATTAAATGGGGAGAGACATTTACAAGTGATACATTCAATAGGGGTTCATATAAAAATATATATAAGAAATTCATACAATTTAACACCACTTCCCCCAAATAATCTAATTAAAATTGTGCAGAGGACCTGAATATACATTTCTTCAAAGAGGACAGACAGATGGCCAATAGACATATGAAAAGATGCTCAATACCACTAATCATCAGAGAAATGCATATTAAGACCAAAACGAGATAGCATCTCACACTTGTCAGAATGACTCTCATCAGTAAATCCACAAGTGAGTGTTGGTGAGGACGTGGAGAAGAGGGACCCTGATGCTCTGGTGATGGGATTATAGATTAGTGCAGACACTGTGGAAAACAGTGTGGAGACTCCTCACAAAATTACTAATAGTGCTGTCATACAATCTAGTAATTCCATGTCTGGGTGTTTATCCAAAGAAAACAAAAACTCTGCTTTGAAAAGATATAGGCACCCCTACAATCATTGCGGTATTATTAGTAGTAACCAAGATTTGGAAGCAACCTAGATATCTATCAACAGATAAGTGGATACAGACGATGTGGCACACACACACAACACACACAATGAAATATTATGCAGCAATAAAAAGGAATGAAACCTAGCCAGTTGTGACACTATGGATGGGCCTGGAATATATTATCTAAGCGCAGTAAGTCAGACAGAGAAAGACAGACACTGTATGATTTCACTTACATGTGGAATCTAAAAAACAAAACAAATGAATAAAACAAACACAAAACAGAAACAAACCTATAGATGCAGAAAACAAGTTAATACTTGCCAAACAGGGGTGGTATGGGGATGGGAATTAAAAAACCACAGGGAGAGTTTCAACATCCCAATGGCCAGTTACATCCCAGGCCAAGTGAATCATAAATTTAACGGGGTACCCAGGCAGCAGCATTTTTTAAAGACACTGTCCAGGTAACTCCACTGTGCCAACGAGTTGAAGAACTGGTTGTAGCTGATGATTACAAATGAGGTCCCTGATTTTATTCTCCCTTAGGACTGCTGGGAGGAGAACATTTTATTGGAGGAAAGGTATATTGAGAATTGACTTTTTTATATATTTTGACTAATTTATCTTGCAAAACATTATTAAATGATTTCCTTGTCATCTCAGAAGTGACTATGGTAGTAGCAGTAGAGAAACATAGGACTAGAAAAAGAGATCATGGCTAAATCACAGAAGATCTTAATGCCAGGCCAAGGACCATGAATTTTATTCAACAGTCAATAGGCAACATTGAAAGTTTTAAATTAGGAGTGGTTTATGAGCCCAGCTGTGGTTAGGGATATTAGTATGGTATGCATTAGCAGGACTGAAGCAATGGGAAAAAAGGTCAATTAGGGGATTACAGAGGCAATTTAAGCAGGAGGGACTGAGGCTGTAATAGCAGGATGGTTTTGAGAATGGGAAGTAGGTAAACATGAAATACTGGAGAAATAGATCTGATGGAAATAGTGTGGTAAAACTTTTTCTCATTTCCTCCCTCTGGCCAAGTGAGAAACCTGAGGACTAGAAGTGTGTTATATGCCTTTTAAAAGCCACAAATGAGTGGAGGCAAATGCCACTTTAGCCTAAGTCTGGAGATATTGTGTAACAATGGGTGGGGGAAAACGTGGCGTTTAGAGGACATGGATTTCTCATAGAGACTGGCTGGTTTGGAAGAGTTTTAATATGGGGGATGTTTGGTTGTGTTTGATTAAGGTTTGGGAGGGGAAAAAAAAAGAGTTACAGCTTGGGATCACCCATCTACCTCAGTCCATGAATCTGGGACGTCCCTTTAATCCTTTTTTCTGGAACAAAAGGAAAAAAAAAGTTTCAGGGTGTAGCATGGGATGAGACTCTCTGGAAGGCAGACATGGTCCAAGCAGTAGAGGCTACAAAGAGGCGAAGATGGGTGAGGATCCTGTGATAGCAGATTTGCATGTAAGTCTGAAAACATAAGTTAACACTGCAGGCCTGAGACTTTCTCTCCTAGAAAGGCCTGCTTGCAAGGTTAGTGTAGGCTGGTATAGGGGACCGTTCCACGTGGTGTGGGAATGTAGCCCAGCCCCCACTTGGGAGGCCAGTGGAGAGCGAGGCCCAGCACACAGGAGCCACGCTCATGGATAGGTTCTCCCATGGGAAATCAGGCCTGCACTGTACCTAGACTGCTATGAGACTTGCTTTTGCT